AATTTGTATCACCCTCTGGAGAGAATATACACACTTCTCATGCCCATCACTCTATCCAGAATTGATCTGTTTTGATCACCTCACTTGGTCCCAAAGGTATCCTCTGTAAATATAGAAGATACTGTATAATGATCTCTGACCATGCACCAGTGTTGGTGACTGTCCACAGTCTCGGTCTTCCTAGACCTCCATCTGTTTGGAGGTTTCCTTCATACTTGGAATCAGATGACACTTTCCGTTAACAACTCACTTCCTGGTAACATAAATATGCAGCAGATAATAGTGGTCACTGTTCAGATCATATTCTGTTTTGGGAAATGGCAAGGGCTGTTCTTCGTGGAAGGATTTTAGCCTATGTCACTTCCCAAAAGAAAGGAACTAGGAAGAGATATGTAGAGGCTTGCACGGTGGCCAGAACAGCTTATTTGTCCTGCAAACATAGTCCCACTACCCAAAATAGAATATAATGGATACAGGCAAAGCAAACTTGTGATCATTGGATCTCCCAATATGATCTTCAAATTCGCCCTCACAAAGAGGTAGAACTCTTTAAATTTGGCAAAAAATCTGGGAAGCTCTTAGCTAATTTGAGTGGGGCACACTCTTAGCCTGCTTATATCCCTCGACTTGTCGACGATGCTGCTGAGACTTATACTGATCCAATGGTTATATGCCGGATATTTAGGTCTTATTATGATTCCCTATATGCTGCGTACAGTGGGGATCTAAATGCTGGATCTAATTATCTTGATAGTATTTTTTACCCTCCTTTTTCTGCAGAAGATGTAGATGTTCTCAACTCTGATATTACTATCCAAGCAATCCAAGATGCTATTAAAAAAAATCCTAATTCTAAAGCCCTAGGACCTCATGGTTTATCTAATGAATTCTGTAAGATTCTCTCAGATGATTTAACTCTTACCTTAGTTGCCCTGGTTAATCGTATTTTGCACCAGACCATTCATGCTGCATATATTAGGTTGTCCTCTCTCCCCACTATTATTTAACTTAGCTATAGAATCCCTTGCTCGCTCCTTAGCCACTTTCTCATTGTTTCATGGTTTCCGCTCCTATATCAAAATATAGTACTATTTGCAGATGACATAATACTGCTTCTGTCTGAACCGGTTACTCAACTATCCCATATTTTACAACATATAAACCTATATGGGTCCTTCTCTGGCTTAAAGATCAATTTAGATAAGAGAAAATTGTTACCGCTGATTAATGATCATTGTTTATCCTCAGCCATTTCCCAAGCTTACACTCTTATCCAAATACAGCAACACTCTCTTACCTATCTAGGCATAATAATCCCCCCATTTAGTGACTGGTCTATATTCCCTAAATTATACCCTGATCATCTATAAAATTATTCAGGAACTAAAATCGTGGCGAGATTTACCCCTCTCTTTATTAGGCAGCTGTCATTTAATCCACATAAGTTTTGCTATACTCTTATACCCAATGCAGACCATTCCACTATTAATCAAATACATGGACATTTACTTTTACACAAGGCATTTATTAAATGTATATGGTGTGGAAAACATGTAGAATTGCCTTTAGTAAATTACAACAGCCTGTAATGTTTGGAGTCAATCTTCCCAACATTAGGGTTTATAACCTAGCCAGTCTCTTTCATCATCCACCCCCACTTTCAGAACTACAAAATGTATTGTTTCGCCTGATGCTACTGGATAACCTGGATACTACATTTAATAAGTCCTGGACCGAACGATTCTTTGATACTTGGACTTTCTTATCTTACTTCTGAACTATCTCTAAGTCAACTAAGAGATCTGATGACAATATTTCAACACTCTGCCTGGTACCATCATGCAAAACACACTGGTTCCCTAGGCAAATTAGATGTCCTTTGATTCCTATGATCCAATCTAATGATGTGCTACTCTTCCTTTGATTCCTATGATCCAATCTAATGATGTGCTACTCTTCCGTCTTCTTTTAAATTTCCCTACTTTGCTGTATAATATTGGTTTATTAACATTTACTTATAGTTATTTTTTGAGTTCAATGCTTAGCAAAATTTACTGATTATTTGATGTGTTGAATGTTGCTTAGGTTTATTCCCATGATGTATGCCCTATGACCTGTGACTCATCAACAATATGATTAGTACTATTCTCTTTCTTTCATCATCTTGTGATTGTAATGATCTTCTGTTTATTTATATTGTATGTCTTATCTTCTCAATAAAACATGATATGCTAAAAAAAGAAGAAGCTAAGTGCAGCATCCTGCTGTGTCCTCCCACCACCTGTGATCTGCCTGTACTGCATAAAGAAGCACAGAGACCCATCGATTATGTCACCAGGTCTAAAATAGGTTATGTATTGAAAGTGAAAAGGTTTTTTAAAAAAAATAATTAGCATGTTGTTGAGGGGGGGGGGGGCTGCATATTAAATGTCAGCTTTAAGAGGCAAAAGGCAAAAGAAATACATTCCATCTTTTCTTTTTGTGTTAAAGAGTATGTAAACCTTACCAATGATCTTTAATCATTTGCTACCTTTTAGTCTGCTACATGTATCATTAAAAGTGTTTTTTTATATACACTATGTTCGATAAGTGCAACAATACCTGCTGATTTTGTCAGAAATGTTGTGCACATTTCTTGTGCTATCTCAATGAGCCTAATTAGCCCTCCTAGTTGTATCTTGGACCACAGATCATTTAGTCTTCATGTTGTGGAGAATAATCAGGGGAATTGTTTTAATAGCATAGCAAAAGACAACCGGGGGGTGTACATCACTTAATCCACAAAAATCATGTGTGTTGTCAGCCCACAACAGGAAAAAGGAGCTAAAAGCATTTTGGCACACCACTAGGTATTTTTCTGTACTTGCATGGTTTTTAAAGGGATAAAACATGGGGAAAAGTGTATGTATTACAGAGAAGTCATTTTTTAAAATGTATTTTGCCCATACATACACTTTATTGACATCTTAAGTTAGATACAGTTGGAAAGCTTCATAAAGAGGGTGACCAGGTTAGGTGAATATATCTATATGTTGGATGAGCAAAAAAGGTAGCATGGTAGAACACTGGTCATATGACAATATAATTATCATTGCTCCTTTGTAGCACTGAATTCCTAAGTTCAAATCCAAAGATGTCATCACTATAACTGAATATGCTCCTCTTGTTTGCATATTACTTTCAGGTAGTCATACACTAAGGGCCTTTTCACACATATTGTGGTGACCCGAGTTTTACTGCACTGGATCAACACAGGTCACCATAAGGACATATAGAAAACAACTGTTTTCTATCGGTGTAATTTACAACACAATATGGGTATGATGGGTATGATGGGTATTGCGCTGTGGAAAAATGCAAACATGCTCCATTTTTTGCAGCACACTGGCACTGAAGGTCATAGCTGTACACATTGGACATAACAGAAAGTTAACAAAAACGTTAACAGTGACAGCTAAGGCAGTGTGCAATACAATGCAGACTGCCAGAGCTGCTGCAACGCTCTAGCCAACCTGTTAAAATGCAGCAATTTGTTTATGGAAGGGATCGTATGAATGGAACCTTGAAACTTTTATTTTCTTACACTCAATCAAACCTTCAGAATGTCTTTTTTTAACTTAAGGTAAGTCTTCAATGAACAGAGCACATCAAATGATATGCTCATACAGGATATTTGTAGCTGTAGCTTATCTCTGCTCAATTGGCAAAAATGAAAAGGAGATTGCTTAACATTTTTACACCTATCTGATCAAAACCCATGCAGCTGTGGATGATCTGGTGTGATAATATTTCCTTCATACATGGTTAGATTGTCAGAAACTGCAGAAAAAAAAATCCAGATTGTCTGACACCAATGATTCTTTGCATGGGTACATTTACTATTTGAGTGCATGGTAAATTGACAGTTTAATTGTATTTTCTAAAAGATTCCTCCGAACGGGTGCTGCTTGGGTAAGAATAGTTTAAGTTCCACTTCTTGGGACTGATGTGAATGTTCGCTAGCTTACCAAATCATATTATCCTACCATATAAACAATAGAGTCTAATAGGACAGGACACAAACATGTTTTAGATCATCCTAGATCTCATCAAAATGGCAACAATCAAATGAAATTTAAGGCATTAAAGACAATTTTGATCACAATGCCAACGGCATTGCTTATTTATATAAATAGAAGAAAAAAAAACAAATATTTTACATGCACAGGCTTCTCAAACATTGTCTTCATTTGAATGTTAATGTTTTGTTTAGAGACATCTGGTGAACAAAAGAAAATCTCTGAAAGGTTAGCTTGTTAAGAAGTTTAATTGATGGAAATGGATGTTTGCTTTATGCATGACAACATTCAGCATTGCTGTGCTCACAATGGGTTTTCTTTTCCCGTTTTATTAGTTTTTCGCCTTGTTCTGCTTTTAAGCAGTGCAAAATGAAATTCTTTAGAGCCCCAATTATCTCCTATTTTTAAGCAACACAAAACCTCCATAATGGCCACATTAGGATTGTATTTATACCAAATAACTTTTTTTTGCTAATTGCAGTATACTTTGAGTAACTTAACGTTCACTAAACTATCTCTGAATGCAGATACTCAGAAAAGACAATGAAGTTAAGGCAGTGACTTCAAAATGTTTACATGGATCACTGTTACACTGTCTATAACTCATGTTGATCCTGACAGGTTTTTTGAGGTGTACACTGGACCAGAACACGTTAAACAATTTATCATTTTGAAGACGGGAAGTGAATTATGAATCTGCTTACACTTCTGATTATGAAACAGATACACCTTTGCATGTGTCACTGTCACAGCACTGTAGCTGTGTTGGGACATGCATTATTGGTGCATAAATAGAACTTATTCTGTAACAATGGTCAATAGACCCATCATAAATGTGCTGTAGGTTGTCATTGCATAACTAAATCTACTCATTGGGTTATTGCTTCCAATGATGCATGTCCCTAAAATACCTTTTATATAATAAGAATAGTAGTTATGGACCTCTTTTGGTGACTCCTGCCGACAGCGGTTGCTGTTCCACCATAATTCGAGGGCAGCCACCAGGCAAGCAAGCAGTAATCCAATTGCCAAGATGCAGAACACTCCAGCAAAACTGTGCAGCTTTAGTGCCTTCCCATCCGTTTGTGCATCGTTATGACTGTTTAAGTCACAGCGCCCCATCCGTGGCCACCACTTCTGTTTCAAAACATCCAAATAACCTGTTTCTTGAAACTCTAAAATTCTGAAAAACAAGAGAGAAAAAGTATGTTTTCTATAAATATAGCTTACTGTTTTTTGGGCTCTGGCATAGGCAGCAAGTCTTGACTTATAAGCTCAATGTCTGTAGCTCAATATCATATACATCACAAAGATAAAATCGTACTATAACGTAGGTGAATTACAATCTCTGTACAAATTAGTAAACTAAAAACGTGAGATTGTAGTCCATCATGGGAGCAAGCTTGGAGCAATTACTCTTTTATATCACACACAGGGACCATAGGGAACAAAAGTACCCACCCTCCATAAGGAAGGACAGTGTCAGCACCAACTCAGGGATGATTTAAGGTTCTACAGCCAAGTCATACACAAATAAGATACATTTTTGTTAACAGTTGGATTCATTTTTAAAGTTTTACTCCTGAGTTTAGTGTCACTTTAAGTGGAAAGACCTCACCGCTATAGTGCCCAATATAACGAAGGAGAAGGGTAATGCAAAATTACAGCATCAACTTAGAAGAAATATCAGTTTTGAGCATCCTGTAAGAGAAGACCTGCACAAGATGTAGTTTGTAAAAATAAACAAAATGTTTATGTCTACCCAATTCTCTCCACATCCAGTACAGTATATAATAGCTCTGACCATGCATTTGGACTAGCAGGTGACAAACATTCAAACTTGACCTTCTTTTAAGCTTGAACAACTCTGCTAGACATTACTTGCCTTTACCAAACTAAATGCATCTTTGACATTTCAATGCCATTTTTAACCAGTGTGATCTTGTGTCATCTGGCTTGTTTAAGCAAAAGTCATGAAGTACAATTACAGTAAAAGGTGGTAAAAAGGAGGATAACCAAAGCAACAACAAAGTGAGAAAATAAGAAAATAAACTAATAATAATTGTCAAATTGTTTTCTGAAGTTGGCCATGAAGTTAACAATGCTTATAAAACAGACTATGAATAATAATAAACCATTATTGTTGCACTATCACCATAGTAATTCTATTTTATGCATATATAAATCAAAGCATGCAACATAGGTTTAGCAAATTAATTACTGTATCAAATTTCAAGGGAAAAAATGGCTTGAACCCACTCCTTTAAGTTTTTCTGATGCATCACACCAGGAAAATTGCAGACAAATGTTAATAGGGATGTCCCAATGCCACTTTTTTAAGACCAAGTACAAGTAATTTCCCTTAGGTGCTTGCCGATACCAATTAACAATACTTTTTCTTAAAGGGACATGTGACATTTTTTCTAAAAACAATACAGACTAATGATTTTATGGCAGTTTCTCACCAGGGATAAATACAGATATCACCAGAGCAAAATACATGTCCCCAGAGCAGAATACATGTCCCCAGAGCAGGATACATGTCCCAGAACATAATTCATCTCACCAGGCTGTGTGCCAATCTCACCTGGACGACATGTGGTTTCCTGCAGGGCTCTGCAGGCAGTGCCTATGCTGTGGAGAGTGTCGGTGTCCGGGGCTGTACTGTGCAGTGTGTGGTGCTGTCCATGGCTGTGCCTTCGCTGAGATGGAGGAGACATAGAACCAGATTGGCACTGCCATGGACAGCTACTTGCAGGTCCCCAACAGGCTGCTGAGGTCCCCACAAGCGCAGGAATTCAGACAGCCGCTGCAAATGTAAAGGGTCGGTATCGGCCTTAAGAATCAGGGAATTTTCACAAACACTTTGAGATCATTGAACAAGTTCCAGGGTCAGCCCTAAATCTTGATTCCATTTAACATGGGATGAGAAGGGACGAGAAGATTTAGTCAGGAGGAGAGTGTAAAACACAGAGATCATCCCCCTGGTATGTGGAGAGTCAGAGCATATGCGTTCATAGGGCGTAAGAGGCGTCCGAACGGGATGGACACTGACCATGGAGGTGATAAAGTGCCTGATTTGTAAATAGTGAAAAAGTTCAATACTGGATAAGCCATGACGATCCCGTAGCTGGGAACCTGCAGTGCTCTCCCTGCTTCTTTTTAGGTTAAGGGATTTTCAAGTCATTCATAGCACCAATATTCCAATTGTACCTTTTTCTCATTGTTTGACTTTTCAAAGATTTCCCTACAACTGCCTCTTCCATTTAGTGTAATTGTGCTATCTGTGCTGCTGCTTGAAGAATATTCATCCTCCATTCATGGGTGGGGCAGCTATGACATAAGGAGGCAAAGCCCTGCTCCTTTACCAAGATGGAACACGGCAATGTAGATCTAATGGAGAAAAGGTCAGCTGCAGTGAGACCACAGGCAATACTCATTACTTTTCCTTTGCCCTCTGTTTGCCTTTTTGGACACAACTTCCACAGTTCAGGTCCTCTAACACTTTGGCCCATGCATCCAGTACATTTTTGCACAGTGCTAAACAAGCTAAGATTTAACAAGAATATAGATTATTATAATTACCATCAGCAAAATGCAGTAATCTGCAAGAGATAACATAAAATACACATTTGCACAGACATGTAGCTTTAGTTTTACTTATATCTTGATGTCAACTTTACACTTTCTCTGGTGGGTATTTAAATGTAATAAAGTGTAGACATAAAAGGCACACTGATGTTGGCCTTACACAGTCCTAAAGTCACCTTTCACACTTACACATGTTGAAAATATGTGCACTGCTGTCACAATGAAGCATCAGCTACTTTATTACAGTACAAAATAGGTTAACTGGAGAACAAATGGAAGCAGGCTGGCATTACCTCTGGGAGAAAATATCTCTGTATGGGCTGCCATGCTGGAGTGCTATTCCGTAGCCTTTGCTACTAATGCTGTTTCCGATGACAGTCACAGAGCATTCATCATCTGTTAGAGCTGCATACTCTACAACTGTCACATCCCATAAGAATGCGTAGTTTCCTTTCTTTGCCTGAAAGAAAAAAAAATTGTAAAAACATTAAATAAGGACTGAAAGCATATTGTGTTTAAAATATTAAGAAGATAAATTATTAAACAATAAGAAATTTAAATTAAAAAGATAAGCAGAAAGGTAAGTTCTACTGTGTATGACCCTCACAGTAAAGTTAGGTTCCAAATTTAATGGACCTGTGACATGTCAAGTCTGGTATCTATATAAAACTAATTTCAATACCCACAATAATCCACACCCCCTAGTGGGCCCACAAAAAGCTGATTCATAATGCATAGAACTCAGAACTTTGCTAAGTACTTTTATTCCCTTTTAATTTTACTGTTGTATTTTTTGTCTCTCTGTTATGTAACATATTTTTTGGTATATTTTCTGCAACATTTTTTTTAAATAAAAACAATCTCTTAAAATCATTAAGCTTATCTTTACTCTCTAAATAAGAACTTAAGTATCCTTGTCTCTGTGAAAAGTGCTACCATTTTGTAAAACCTGTTAAATTCCTGTCTGAAGGGACAGTGGGCATTACAGCCATTGCTTACATTTTGAATTGTAAAAGCATTTGCTGGGAACGGTGCCTGTTTCCATCAAAACATGTGGTGACAGCTATTATTCTGTGTAAAGGGTTAACTGTGGAGTTAAACATCCCTTTTGACCATCACCCTGCTGTCCTTAGATTGTTGTCTCCCGAGCTGGAAAATCACTGGGCATGGTGAGGCTTAGAGTGGTATCATCACATCTTTTTGACAGCACGGTAGGATCCAAACTGCATATCATCACACATTGATATCACCCTCTTGCAGTCTCTGTATATCAGAGCTGGAATGTGAGAGGAAGACTCTGTACTGACAAGAAGCATGCTGACAGGAGGAGAAAGCACAAGGGTTGGTCTAGGAGTGGGTTGAATGATGCTGGTCATCAGACTGAGAACATATAGTGGCAGAAAAGGTCCTGCTGTGAGAATCTCCATATTGGAGCTGAATATTGCAGCAACAGCTTGTTTTATTATTTTATGGGATACTCATTTTATCTTGTTAGTCTTTTTAAAAAGGCCCTTCTGAAAATAAGCTTTGCTTAAAGCACATTAGTGGTACTCAGTGATTAACTACATGCAGTTCACACTGGCATTTTGAAAGTGCAACAGTGGTGACTGGTTCTCTTTCAGCAAAGGTGTAGAACCCGGAAGGCTGCAATTTTCAAGGTATGTACCCTGCCTCATGTCCATTTACTACTGGTACATCTGAAAACATACACCACTGTTACAGCCACTTCTTGCAACAATTAAACTTTACAAGGAGTTCTTTCAGTGCTGATCAACTGTCTTTGGAAAGAAATCATGAATTTATCAGAGAATTATTTTTTTCATATCTGTGTGATAAATAATGAGTACAAAGCAACAGATGGCTGAAGGATTAAGTACAAAAGAATGTGAATTTACAGGCCCTGGCTTTCTTTGCTGTACATTTGCATAAATAATGCATGAACATGAATCCATCAGCAGTGGCATGAATTATATGAAGGTATAGGCTGCTTTATCAAACCAGAGAAGCTGTTCCAAACAAAGTGTGGAAAAAAACCCACACTGAATTAAACAGGCTTATTCTCTATATGCAGTTCCTATTACTTCATAAAGAATTTGCTGGGCAACTGACATTAAAGGAAAATTATTGCTAAACTACCGTGTACATAGTTCCTATGAGAGAAGGCATTATTATAAAATTAGCATATATAAAACACTTTGTTGTTCAATGTTCCAACAGAATGAATGTTTATTTTGCAAGCACTAATTATATACATAAAGGTAATAGCTTGAACACACCCGTAACAATGTGTTTTTAAGTTTTAATGCAACTAGGAACTTTTTTCTATGGAATTTAATACAAAAACATACATGCAAAATATACACAAACAAAAATCAGAAGATATGATATTCTAAAAGGGAATTAAACTAAAGGCTTTATATTTCATATTAGAAACATGCACCAAGGAAAATTCAAAGCCTGTGTGCTGACCTAAATATGCTAATTTATTGGCTCTCTGGCTTCTGTACTTACTTGTCAACTGACCTGAAACAAACATGCAACAACTGAGGTTAGAGTGTGAACAAAACTTCTGGTTTGCATGCTTGCTCAAAGACTTGGTAGGTTATTCACAAATAGAGCCAAATAATCTAGCCGTAGCTTCAGCTGATCGTTCTGCTCACTTCGGCCACCAGAGGCCTTTATTTCAGTCGAACCAAAGGGCTGCTGTACGGGTTATTCACAATAGCCTGTACAGCAGCCGAAGGCAGGTGAACGGCTTAGCTGAGCTGAACTCATATACTTCGGCTCGGCTGAACCATAGTCACAGCTTAAGCATGGAGAACAGTCTGCCAAAAATTTCCAGCAGACTGTTTTCCCTGCAAATGACAACTGGGCGGAGCCCCCTAGTAAGACCTCAGCTGGCTCCGCCCAGTTGTATTGATTTGGCCAGGACCTTCGGAAAGACTCTGGCAGGTGGCGGACAAATGTAAACAGTTAGGCGGAGCTAGTGGTGATCTCACTAGCTCCATCTAATTGTTTATATTTTGCCCTAATCTTGCAGATTCTTCATTCTGCAGCGGGAGTAGGTCATGTGCAGTTGGATGGACGTTTTTTTTTTATTTTGATGAGTCAATGTCATTGTGGACAACACTGGACGTCGTGAATGACCCCTGGATTACAATGTTGGATCAATTTTTGGGATTTTTTTTCTTAATAAAGGAATTGTCAAACATTTTGTTGTGTTTTTTTTTCAATTAAAGTATTTTTTAAACATCTGGTGTGTTTATTTTTACTGTACTGCTGTCATTGTGTTAAAAAAGATCTGCAAGTGAATAGGCAGAAAAGACCATCTTGTCAAAGGAGAATGATATGGTTCTTGGGCATTACAGGTGAGAATAGCTATGGTGCTCAAACTAAGATATGAATTATGTGAGGGCTTTGTGGGCCCCGATGATTAATGAGAATGTAGAGCTACAGCACCACACAAAAATCAAAAAAGTTGCATAGGCTAAGACAATGATAACAACAAGAGATTGTAAAATTACACTATACTCTGAGGTTAAGTCCTAAAAATGCATTCAAGTACCCTATTAACAATAATTTAGCTTATTTGCGTATCACTCGGCTGTAGAGCTCAAATAGTCTCTAAATATGTTCCAACATTGTCATTCCATCTGGAGGTTTTCTACTTTTGTTCCCATGGTCCCTGTCTGTGTTGTCGCCACCGCTCCCCAAGCTCACTCCCAATCTTATGTATTATTCTGACTCCAACCGTTGTATTGGTGATTTATCCCTTGGAGGGACCTCTATGCCTGGCTTATATAAGCAGAAACTATGACCACAGACAGTCTTTCTCGGATAGCTGAGCTCATCAAATACCTTTTTATCCACAAAGATCTTTATTGAATGCAGCAGGTTACAGCAGACAACAGGATGTAGCAGATGATTGAAAAGACTGTATTTGCAGGTCAAAGATGGCAATGTTTCCCCCATGTGAGCATATTAACATGAGCCAAGGAGACATTTTGATACCATAAAGACAAGCAATAAGGAAGGGGAAATGCATCATAAAATGGGAGGGAACACAGAAAAGATGCAATAACCAAAATGACCACAAGGCGGCAGTATATAAACAAACTATACTACTGCTCATGATACATGGCTTAAGGGAAGTTAACTGTTAAATGTAAATTCTCACTTCACAGTAATACGAGTGTAAGCCATGACTATGCATTGTATGATATTTTCATACAAAAGATGTAACAGAAACATCTATAGTTAGCTGATTTATATTGAAGTTATAGTCTATCACAGGAGCGAGCTTGGAACAGTGGCTACAACACTTACAGGGACCAAGGGTAACAAAAGAAGCCACCTTACAGAAGTGATGTGTCAGCACAAATTCAGAGATGATTTGAAGATCTACAGCTGAGTGATACACAAATAAGATACATTTTTGTTAAAAGGGTACTTGAGTGCATTTTTAAGACTTAATTCCTGAGTTTAGTGTAATTTTTTTTAATGTTGCTGATATTGACTAGTTTAGCAGTACTGATGTCACGGCAAAAGGGTGAACATGTATAAACGTACAATAAATTATCATTACAAATTGCATGTAAGGTCTGAATTTGCAAGTTCTTAAATGCTGTGGCAACTTCAAGCCCCCCGGTCAACTTGCTCTCTCCTAAATTCTTATTGCTGAAGGTAACATTTTTTTTTCACAAAATTTCCTCCCAGATTGTGTCAAACCAACCATGTAACCAACCAATGTAAATACACTATACCTTTTATTATTGTGGGTGAAAAGAATAAAAGACTACAGATAAATATATATGAGAACTAGTACTAGTGTCAAAGAGCAAGACAGTATAAGCAAAAAATCTTACAAAAAAATTAGATTTTTAGTCTAAATAGACTCAAGTAGTATACCCCTAAGGTTCAGTATTGGGATTGCAAGTACCATTTTGAATTTTGCAGATGGCACAACAACATGTTGTATGACACAATCCATAAAATATTTATCTTGTGTGCAAAGAAGGCTGCCAGAGCTTGGTAAGCAAGATCACAGTGGAAAGGGTCTAGAGCCTCTGACCTAAGTCTAAGCACATTGCAGTTTTCCTGGATAAGTAGAAGTGTTTTTTTTTTGTTTCAAGAGTATGCGTTTCTTGGCAATTCATAAACAAAGCCAAAAGTAAACAGTGTGTGAAATTCTGGTCTTGATCAGATAAGAAGAAAGCAAAAGGGTCTACTGTTTAGAGTCTAAAAACACTTACAGTGAATGCTCATTCACTGTCCAGCAGTAATTTGTATTTCTTGAGTTTAGCTGATCTTCCCTCATAGTATAAATTAATGTAGTTTTGTGAAAGAATACTGTATATTTTTTTTGTCATGCATGTTCTGCAGTAACTCGGCTGTTCACTTTGAAGTACTATATTGTAAATAACAGCAATTGGAAAGAAATGATTTTACTTATAAAAATCC